ATGAAGAAAATCCAAGCACTTTTACTGTCCTAAAAGGTGATGATGGACACGAAAAAAAAATTAAAAAAATTAAAAAAAAACACACATCATTGTAAAATCAATACATATCGTTCCACTCAGAATCTAAAAAAATAAATTAACACAAATTTTTTTTTATATTTATTTCAAGATAAAAATATAAAATATTTTATATAAATAAATATAAAATATTGCTTGAATAGTATAATAACATGAATAAAAAATGAAATAATAGATTATTAAAGAAAAATATTAAAACTTATCAATAATACCGGTCTAGGACGTTTTGGCGCCGCCGTTTGGGCGCTGCCGTTTTGGCCCTGCCGTTTTGGCCCTGCCGTTTTGGGGCCAACTAACCTAATAGAATTTATATCAAAATTGTAATAAAAATATATAGTAAAAATAAATAGTTTTAAAACATTACAAGGTAATATAGTTAAAATATAAATATATAGTCAAAGTATAAAGCATAATTTTAAAACATTATTACAAGGTAATATAGTCAAAATATAAATATATAGTCAAAGTATATAAATATAAATATAGAGTCAAAGTATAAATATAAATATATAGTAAAAATAAAAAGTTTTATTAGACAAAAATGACACCGAACTATCAGGTGAACACCAAATTTTACTTTTATTGTTATATCATATTATCATCATATATAGATAACGACCGTTATAGACGTAATAATCGACGTTGTAGATTCTATGCAATATATGATCTAATGGTTTTGCGTGTGGACAGCATGATTTGCTTTTATCGTTTTACTTTATTACAGTCACAATAGATAACGTGCGATCTTTATTGTCGATTGATATTTTTTCGTCTTGGATTATATGCCAATCATTTATATTTATAAATTATTAAAATATATAAAAATTCATGTTTTTCTACAATAATTATTTTTAATGTTTTAAGTGTTTTAACTATTTAATATTTTTTACTATACTATATTTATATTTATATTTTTACAATATCTTGTAGTCATTTTTTAAGTACATTTTTATAACTAACTATTTACAATATATTTTCATTTCAAATAAATTGTAACATTTAACAAAATATTAGTTGGCGCCAAAACGGCTAGCGCCAAAATGGATAGCGCCAAACCGAGTTAGCGCCAAAACGGCAGGGCCAAAACGGCAGCGCCCAAACGGCGGCGCCAAAACGTCCGTGTCCGTCCCTTTTGCTATGTAAATATTTATTAATGTCGATTAAAGCGTCTTCTGTTCCTAATTTTTTTCTAAAGCCGTAGAGTCCAGTAAATATAATTTTATCTTTCGCCAAGTATTCTAATGGTTGATTTTTAATTATTTTTCAAGGATTTTAGCTAATAGAGATTGTTATATAATTAGTGAAATCAGTTTTGTCTACATTTTATGAATTGGTATGATTCTAGCTACTTTAAGTTCATCAGGTACAGTACCATTTGTTATATTACAGTTAATTATGTGTACAATATTTAATATCACATTGTCTCCAATTTGTTTAAAAAAAATAGTGCAGTATAACCATCAACTCCAGGTGCCGAGTTGTTATATTTTTTACTTCGTAACTGCCTATGGTTTTTAACTTAAAGTTGGAGCTTATGCTTGAATTATTATTAGTATTTGTTCCGAAATTAGATTGTATATTGTTTGTACCATTAGGAAAATGTTTATCAACTAGTCCATTTCCGGTTGTAGTGAAGTATGAATTTACTAGTCTAATTTACTAATTTACTAGTTCAGTCTTTAGGCGTGGATGTCGGATATATGTCCTTTATTATTTCATTGATTGGTAGCCCGGTAGATTTAATTTTTCACCCTGATAGTTCATTAATAACTATCCAGATTTCCTTTCCATTACCTTTACATATTTCTATTTTATTGATATAATATTGTTCTTTAGCCTTCCGAAGGAGTGTTGTTAATTTATTTCTCTAAGCTTTGTAACAGTTTATCAATTTATGATTTGAAGTATTCTTTTTAATTTTCATATTAAGCTTATCTTTAGTTTTAAATTTTTATTGATATCACAAGACCATTGGTAATCCAGGGTCTTATCTACTTTTATCTACTTTTCCTACTTGATTGGGAGGTGGGACTTTGATACAATACAGTTATTAATTTTGTCTATTATATTATCATTAAAAATATTTATTGCTGTATTAGTATTATTGGTTTCGAATAATGCTTGTGAGTTTATTAAACTACCTATAATTGTATAATGATATGTTATACTAGTCTTAATTACTGCAGAAATGAGATTAACATTTCTACTAAATATGTTGTCAATACAAGAACTAGCTAGTGACATAACCCACTCTAGTATGCGTACAAATTTGAGAAGAAAAACCGTTTGACGATAGTTTATTTAAATAGCTTTCGGTTATGAGAGAAGTATATTTTTTCGAATATTTCAATGTTTATATCTCCAACCCATATACAATTTTTTTGTATATGTCCTGAAGTCATTATGGTAGATAGTTCAGATCAGAAAATATTTGTGTTAGTTTGAGGTGAACAATCTGCAGCTAAAGTTATAATTGGCATGTTACTTATCGTTAAGTCTAATTTTATACAGCTAGCCTCTGAGAACAATTGAAGTTGATTAACAGATATTATATTATGTTTATTGTTTATATAAATTAGGACAACATCGTTTTGATTAAATTTATTTTCACTTTTATAACTCCAAGTTTCACTGAGAATAATTATGTCCAAGCACTTTAATGAGTCGTTTATCAAACACCAAAATTCGTCTATATTTCAATTATAATTTATAAGACCTAGTATTCATGTGTATATCGTTATTTTCTAGTCTCTATATCCATCAAATACTCATATATATCTTTATTTACTATATTTCAATATAATTTGTAACGACCACGGAAACCATATTATTTATTGTTCGCTAGTCAAAGAAGATATACCAATATCATTTTTTGAAATTATAAGCTCAAAAAGAGTCAAAATATTTTCAAAACTATACAGTGTATAGGAAATGCTAATATAAACATTCAGTAAAATTTTCAAGTATCTACAGTCATTCGTTTTTGAATTACAACAAAATAAGGAAATCGCTATGTGAGAAATCGAGTGAATATAAAATGTTGTAAAAATTTGAATTTCAAACGTTCATAAAAATTTAATTTGAGTTTTTTGTAGACATTTTTTTTTGATAAAGGTAGACAAACTTATGAGGAATCTTGTATTACATTTTCATATCTTAGATTTAAAAAGAAAATTTTTTATGAATTTCTAACTCGAAATAATTTGCAATTTTTCGTAATTTTTACGTATTTTATCAATATTATTTATTGTTCGCCAATCAAAGAAGATTGCTATACCAATATCATTTTTTGAAATTATTTTTGATTCTTAAAATATTCTTTTTATAAAGTGAACCGACTCTTTGTATCTAGACAATATCTGTTCATACACAACTATTATTAACACAGTCATTAATATCAACTACTTCGATCAATTTCCAGAATTTGAATGTTGAATGTTTGTTCAATCAATACAGTTTGCATTTGTTCGTTTTACATTGTCTTCATAACTGGTTTGTAATATATGAGATTATATTCTCGATGTTTCTTGTTTTATGTGAGTGCTTGTGTTATTTGTCTACGTTTCTTCTTTCCACATCTTTAATTTCCCCATGTATTTAATTTCTCCTTTTGCTTAAAATTTTTCCACGGGTTCCTTGCAACCTTAACAGAAAAACTGCACTTGATGCAAAATTAAAATGTTTGCAGTAAACTTATGATAATAATATAAATTTGTGTATCTAATATATTTTATTGTTTTTTAATTATCCTATGATATTGTAATAATATGGAAAGGGAATCAATTTCACAAAATTGGTAAAATATTTTATTTATTAATAATAACGGGTTTAACGGGCGGTGCCTATTAAATACAAAGATAATACATTTGAATTATAAGTAAAGAGCAGGAAATATACATTAATACAAATAATATTAACAATAATAATGCTAAAAAATAGAACAAAAAAGAGAAAAGTTTTAAGGTAGTAACAATAAGAGTACTTATATTAAAAAGGCGGGATCCTCATTACCGATGGACTTTGTGCGTCTTAACCATTCATTTTTGATATAGATACTTTTATATTGGGAAATATAGAAGGACACAGATGTTTGGGATGGAAATTGAGGAACATTAAAGGCTATATAAGGAATAAAATAGTAGGAGAGTCAACAACATTAGGTAAGAGACCTCTTAGTGTTACTTGAAATGTTACCTTACATTAGCGTCCAATTAAGTCCAAACCAGTAGCCTATAGGATTCCTTGGTATTCGTACTCTTACCGTAACATACTAACATAGTAACATACTAACATGTACCTATAATATAAGGAAATATTATACTAACGTTATAAAAAAATGTTAAGTGTCATGTAACATGCTTGATGCACATATTTCATCCAGTCCCCGCTAATGTCTATGACTCATTTAACCTGACTTTTTTCTATTGATTTAATTGATAGATTTTTCTAATTGAAGAAATTCCAAACTCAAATTCTAATCTATATTGAGTGGTCACATTACCTGGACAATAATTTACAAAAATTTGTTTCAAACTAATTTTGGTATGGTGGTAATTATTATTAACGATATATTTTATTTGTCATCAAATAATGTCACTTTATATTTGATGCAGTATTACACATACATATTATATACATCTATTGTACATTTTTATATAATATATATGTATAGATAATTGTATATTAGCACAATTTGTTTTATTTATCTGTTCATTTTTAAAGGTATAGAAATGTATTATATTTGCCAATCATTAATCGCGAATAAATAAATAAATAAATTACGATAACTAACTAAAGACATCATTAGGACATTATATATATATATATATGACTATATTTAAAAACACACAAGATGACTAACATTCAGATTATAATTTAAGATAAAATTGTATAAATCAGTACTATAAAATGTTAAATCATCTTTATGAAAAATTGTAAATAATCAATATTACTGAAATTTTGAACAATTTATCACAAAGTTTTATTAAGTTTCCCGTATTTAAAATAGTATTGGATATCCAATCTCTGTAAAAATAAATAAATAGATATCCAGATTGAAGGTGGGGAGATCCACATTTCATGTCTTCTGGATTATGTGCATTGTATATGAAGTTAGCTATTCCGTATAAATATCCGTTACAAATCAATGGTCCGCCGCTGTCACCAGGACATGGATTGTGAATATTTGGTTTTGAACACAAAGGTATTTTCGATGAGAATTCTCTATTTAAAAATGAAAATTATGTACATTTTTACCAAAGATAATTGACCTGTATTTAGTACGTTGTTAGTGAAATGTGAGAAAAACACTTTTTAAGGCCATACATAATACTTAAGTTGGTCATATATCCAAAATGTTCAGAATTCATCGATTTATCAGTTTGACCATATCCAATAGCTATACAATTCAAACTCTTTCCATTACTAAATTCATTTGGATGACCAGACATATTTATATAATGGATCACATCCTTGAACGGATATTCTATCTAAATTCCAAATAGAATATTAGTACATAATATTTATTTTATAATTTTATTATATATTAACCTATCAAGAATTCACAAAATAATAGAATTGATCTGGGAAAAGGAGAGCCTCCCATGAGACTGTAGATACATGACTCTTTATAGACTGAATAAAAATGTATTTATTTAATTTATTTAATTAGAAAAATGTAAATTGTAATAATTCTGTGTTCAATAAATCTCAACCTAATACATATATTTAAATTTATTGATGATCTCCTGTACAACTATTTTTGGTTCATATTGTAATGCGTAGTTCAGGGAAATAATCAAAAGAAACAATAATACTGCAAGAGTTTTTAGACAAACAAGGTCAATTTTGAAAAAATTTCAACTATGGATAGGGCTCACTTACATCGGTCGTGCATCGTCTACATTTTTTCAGCGTTCTATGAATAAAATAAAGTAGGGGTACTTACCGAATTATAATTATCTTGTAATGTTATTATAGAAAATTGTATGTTTAACAATCTTACAATTTGTAATTATATTACGAGATATTTTACTATAATTTTATATTATTTTAATTTTATAAGTACCTGGCAAATCATAAGATTATAATATTATTATCATATATTATTATAAAAAATAATTAATTTTAAGCATTTTCTGTTAGTCCAACGTCTGGGTAAAATTTTATGGAAAATGTTAATTTTAGTCGCATTATAAAGCGCAAGAGTATTCCAAAGTCAGCCATGCATGCGTGTGTAGAGCGGAACACAATAGATAGGTACCGGTTGCAACTGTTCTAATACTAATAGTGGTGGAGAGGCTATCCCTATTCTCCTAACTGGCTCAACTAGTGTAGGCTATTCGATGTATCACTTAGCCTGAAGTTATTTTTCCCAAGTAAATATTTAACTGGGACTTCCTAATATTCCTGATTATAAGTGCAGACTTACCCTCAATAAACTGATATCATTTTTTCCTGCATAATGATCATATGATTCGTGTTCATATATGTTTTTAACATATCTCATAGTCTTTCTATGAGTATTGATATATCGGTACACCTGCAACGACGAAAACAGAAGAACAGGACTATTAGAATAACTAGTTATAATTACAAATAATGTATATTTATCGCATAATATTAGAAGTATTTATTACCACTATGTCATATTTATCAGCTTCGTGTGTGCAATGAGCAGCGGTTAACACAAATAGTGGTAAAATCAAAGACCCTGTGCACATACTTAGGGTATTTTCAGTGTATATCATTGATTCAAAGTACACCATGAATGGATATTTCTGGATATCAAACAATTCTCCGTATGATATTAGCTCTTTGTTTTTATCATTCAAAATGTTAGGATCTAAAATCGCCATCTTCGCTACAATATATTCAATCAACTGCAATACAATAAATACTTTTTGCATGGTGTCCAAAATGATAATTTTATTTATGTTAATACATTAATTATAAATAATTATAAATAATTAAAATACATTATCATTCTACTAAAATTTAAATTATATAACTTATTGATTGCGAGTTATATTCAAACACTATTACCTAAGCAACAACTTGTATCAATTTAAATAACAAATTAAAGTTCCTAACTATATATAAGTACATGATACATGTACAATTATTGAACACTCGAAACATTCCAAAGCAATGTAACACCGTAAAAATAAGATAAATAATGCTTGTATAAGTTATTTTAAACCCTAGATGATTCTCCATTCTTATAATGGGGGGATATGACCGAAATATCGAAAAACTTTCAAGAGGTTTTCAATTTGTATACCACAGTAGAAAAATAGTTACCTGTCTGATTTTATTATTTTCGATTTTCCTATCGATTTTCACCATAGAGTATTTGGTCTGGGAAAAAATTTCAAAATATCGAAAAACGTCCAAGAGGTTTTTTATTTGTATACCGTCATAGAAAAATAGTCCGTGTTCGGATTTCCGTTTGCCTATTCGTTCGCGAGTACTCCGTCATTATTTTTTATCAAGGGACAATGTTAAATTATATTTTATTAAATAGGTAGGTACAACAAAATATTGTTACTTTCAATAAATAAAAATATATACTTATTATTCATATCTAATATTATATATTTTAAATATATAATAATATATTTAAGTATTTTATAATATATTTATGAACTTAAAAATGTGATGGCCCTGAAAAGGGCCGTTATAAATGGTTGGTTCTTAAAAGAACCTTTTATATTTAGTGCCGACGTATAAGAGTTCTGGAAATAAAACACAACATGATTTTTTTTTTAATATGACGTATTATGTATACAATAAAAAATTTGATGATTTTTTTAACTAGTGTTATAGTACTTTAAGTACCTGCCCTGCATTTCAGCACTCAGGGCATTGGCAATTTTCAATATCCGTGGTCATAGGATTAAATCCGATTCCAGGATATGCACGTGCTATGTCAGACATAAGACGTACATAAGACGGTACAAATTGGTCCTGTACAGTACCACATCTCTCCTGCAGGATATTTGTACGGTACATCCACTCACCAATGTACGAGTCAGCTACTGACTTAGAGTTACATCGAGTTAGGATTCTTTTTAGCTCTCTTCAAGCTCGTTCTATGTTTCGAGTGTGGTACCGAATTGGAGCCAGTCTGTTATTAGGAGGCGCTCCCTCCCATTGCTTGCCCAAACATTCATGGGAAAACCGTCCTGCTGGCACCCAAAATTTGGAGCAAATGTTTTGGTGCTTCCAAAAAATTTGTCGAATGGTTTACAACACCATTACCATTAAAAAATATATGTTCGTTTTGTAGAGGATCTTATATAATATATAAATATACAAGAATCTTAAATTAATAAACTACATTTCGTAAGCTTAAATGTTTGTAATAAAAGCAACAAAAAAAAGGTGGGTAAGTGGATGTCGCTCTGCTGTACTGTAGGTTACAAGTGGGTCACTGTATAATGGATGGTATTAAACTTGAATTCAATGATACAATATCATTGTATAAGAAAAACGATTCTGAGCGGAGACGGTATGTCAGTCTAGGTATAAGACATAATATTATATATACTTATATATGATATTAAATTATATGGAATTTATGAATAAATTATTCATTGCCCTTTATAATATGCACAGTCTTATCATTGAGATCTTATTCTTTATACTATGGTAGATTGTATGGATAGGCCATAATATTTTGATTTTTCAGTTTCATATATCCCCGAATAATATTTTTAAATTACAACAAAAAACCCAAGATCGTTAATATTGGTTTTAATATGTAATTTCGTCCAAATTTGAATTTTGAAATGTTAGATTTTTTGGTCACAGTATGAACTATTTATGAGAAGATTTGTTTTAAATTTGCAATCCTTAGGTATAAAAACTGAACATTTTATAATTTATTAATTACGATGGTTGATAGTTTTCGAGATTTTGATAAATTTTGTCGAAATGCGATCTTTAAATGCTTATAAAAAAAAAAATGGTGCCTATGTATTTTAATATTTTTCAATTGCTATTGTAACAATATATCAGGAGCCTTGTATTAATTTTTTACACTTTTTGGCCAAACAGATAAAACTTTATTGATATTTATAGAAAAAAAAAAACTAAAAAAATTGAAAACTGAAAATGTCCGTAAACGGCTCAAAAAGAGTCAAAATATTTTCAAAATTGTATGGTGTATAGGAAATGCTAATATAAACATTCAGTGAAATTTTCATGTATCTACAGTAATTCGTTTTTGAATTACAACAAAATAAGTAAATCGTCACATGAGAAATCGAGTGAATAACCAATGTTGTAAACATTTGAATTTCAAAGGCTCATAAAAATTTAATTTGACTTTCTTAAAGAATTTTTTTTTTTGATAAATATAAGAAATCTTATAAGGAATCTTTTATTACATTTTCATATCTTAGATTTAAAAAGAAAATTTTTATAAATTTCTAATTCGAAATAATTTGCAAATTTTCGTGATTTTTCCATTTTTTGAACTTAAAATGCTCAAAAAAAAAACTGTGACAAAGATTTTTAATATTTTTCATCTGTCTTTAAAACAATAAACTAGGAGCCTTCTATTAAATTTTCAAGTACTTTTACTCAACAAATAAATTTTTATTGATATTCATAAAAAAAAAAACTAATAAAATTGGAAACTGAAAATGTCCCTAAACAGTTCAAAATAAATCAAATATTTTTAAAATGTTATCGTGTATAGAAAATGCAAATATAAACAACCACTGAAAATTTCATGTATCTACGGTCATTTGTTTTAAAGTTATACCAAAAACCAAAGTCGACTTTCTCGAAAACAGATTTTGCGTAAAAATTCCCGTTTTTCCTTAATTTTTCTTTTGTTTTTCCCGGCGCTTTTGAAAACTACTGGGAAATTTAAATGTTGACCTCCCCAATGCACCAACGTACCAATCGTACAAAATTGAAAATCGAAGCATTATTTTGACTACTTATCGTTAGATTACAGACACAAAAAAAATAAAAAAAAAATTAAAAAAAAAAAACTCAGAATCTAAAACTTCAATAATTACCTAAATATCTGCCCACAAGCACTATAGGCTCGCCACATATCACTACAGATAAACGAATCCTGGTCAATATAACACTGCATAATCGGCAGTAATGTATCTGCATGTTGTTCTATCGGGAACAATTTTACCGAACACTTTTTTCGTTGTACGACTAATACCACCTATAGTTAAATTTTGTAATAAGATCGAATTTTGTTTTGATTAACTAAAATACGTTTAATATGCCGGGTGCTGATGCCATTTTCCCCTCAAAAATATGTGTCACAAAAAATAATATTACCAGTAAATTTTATTATTTAAATGATTACCATTTTTTACATATTTTACTATTACGGCATACGAGTAAATCATACCACCAAAGAGCTAAGTATACATTAGCTACATTTTTTCCCCAGAAATACACTTTATGGAAATAAAACGATACTCTAAGAATTAACCAAATTTCATATTTTTTTTTGTTTTGATTGAAAAAATAAAATATTTTTTTTCCTCATTAAACTTATTTTTTCTATACTTTCCATGGTAGCGTCCCCCCGTAAATAGATTTCAGGCAGTACATTAAAAATAAGTATTTTCAAAGTAATTTTAAATTTTTCGGAAATTTCAGAAAACCGGCACTCTAACAAAAACTTTTTAAGTTAAATATTTTAATACCAAAAAGCCAAACATCGCTCCATGTCATCGCTCGTCCCACATTGTATTTCGCTTTGAATAAATGTGTTTCGTCTATACTTCCACGATGTCTTGACTATCTTCTATTAACGTATAATCGTGGTTTGCGATCTTCGTGGCAACATCGCGGAAGTATTAGCAAAGCGTTAAGGCTGTTTCTTTTGAGACTTTAACCTTTTATCAAAAGTAAAGTAATACAGGCTATAAGTATCGACATAGATTTGATTTTATACACTATTGGTTAAATCAGTGTACGTAGGTACAATGTATATTGTAAAGAAAGGCTGGCTAAGTTAAATATTTTTTATTTTATAGGTACTTGAAATTTACATTTTGAATTTGTTTTCCTCAGGGATGGAAAACGTTATTTAACAAAAAAAAAACAAAAACAAAAAACGAAAACAATTAATAAAAACAAAAACAAAAGACAACTGTCAAAAAAAAAAAAAAAAAATCCCAAAAACAGAAAAATATAATAACATAATTAAAAAAAAAAAACGAAAATAAATTGTAATACTATTACTCCACAAAAAAAAATTATACTGATATAGGTAGTAATATTTACGTATAAACGAAAAATTTCAAAATATTTTGAACTTGATGGATTTTCGTAAAATTAACTGAGAAAAGCTAAGTTATTTCAACTGTAAATGAAACTAGTTAAGTTCATAAGTTGATTGGAAAATAAACTAATACTAGTTAAGTTAAAAATTTAAAAAATGTAACTTTTTAACTAGTTATTAATGCCCACCTTTGCATAAAACCAAGACGTTAGGTAATAATATTTTATACATTTTACCTACATTCAATTACATCTTATATTTTAATCGTACACAAATCGTGTATAAATAAGTACCTATTTATAGTATTTATATACACTGTTTTAATCACTATTATAGAATCTAGAAATAGTAAAAAAAAAATTGTTAATAGAATTTAAAATGAGAATGCATATAATATTTATCATTATAGTTTATAAATAATATTTGATACTTCCGATACATTCTCGCACTCCCACATCACAACCTATACCCAATTAAATATATATACACAAGACACAACTAGTAATGCGTGTCTATAAAATATTAAAATATTAGTGTATAAATAGTTCTAAGAACAGCCATTACACAATATATCATAACAACTGTTTAATATAATCGCTTCAACAATAATAATTATTCCACTTATTCATATTAGAACAA